AATCAAGTCAACATCTGATGAAGTCCAGCGCTTGCGATTTGCTCAGATGAATCCTTTGATAATTCTGATGATGACCTTGCCTTCCAAATTCATTTCTACACAAAAGCAACAAACACTAAGCTAGCAGAGAAGTGTAACAGACGATCAGATCTCAAAACAAGCACTGAAAATTAATATGTGGGATTTTACATTAATAATTAGCAATATGCAGAAAAGACAAAAACAGCAACTGAAAAGTTTATAAAAAGGAAAATGTTGACTACTGGTAAAGAGGAGTGCCATTTCATTATAAAGGTGAGTCAAGTGTGGGTATTTAAAATGCTGTTCCAGTATTTGGCACTTAAATAGGCTAGTTTAGCCAACCATCCATGCAGCCAAATTATATATTAAGAGCCATCTGTTTGCTTTTGCTGATTAAAAAAAGGCTTAAAAATAAAATATTTTATTTATTTGATGCTCTAGATTTCAGTTCTTCATCTTCCAAACATTATGCTGCCCTTTCCAGCACTTGGAAGGAACCGCCCTTCCCAATAATTAATTCCATTATGTGATGATGATAACAAGGGATCATTTAACTCCTTTTGAAAAATGTTATTTTGTTTACAGTTAATGGATATGTGGCTTTACTGAATGATAGAGGAGAAATATTATAGGGCTGTAGTACTGGGTTGGTTCATGCTGTTGCCCAGTTCTGTTGTGATTGTTGATGCAACAATGAGGCAGATAGGAGGACAATGTGTTTTGCAACAAAGGTCAGTGAGTTGTAGAATTCACGTGTGTGTGTGTGTGTGTTTGTGTGTGTGTGTTTAACTAATTTAGCTACTTTTGAAAAAAACAGGAAGGTGAGCTTACTTTAAAACTGGAACTGAAATAGCAATGTTTAGGGCCCTGGAAGTAATTACATTTTAAAAAGTAATTTTCCAAGTTTCATAGCAATCTAAAAAAAATTCTGCACTTTGTAAAGCAGAAGAATTATTTGCTTCAGAATGATTAATTTGGACCAACAGAAAATACAAGTAACTGTATAGGAATAACAGAACAGGAAACCATCTTCTTGGTGTCCTTTTTGAAGACTGAAGATAGTGCTTTTCTACAGCTCACACACAACTTGTTTACCAAATGCCAGATGAAACCCTGCTTCCTCTGTACTATACTGTGATTCTGCTACAACATGGGATAAAGAGAAATGAGAAACACTACAAAGTATGGGTTCAAGTTTTCTTGGACTGTGCATGCTCTAGGTATACGAGCTAATTCACATGGTGGGTATAGTTCCCACTGCTGACATGGCTTTCACTTTGTTGATTACACTCCAAATGGCATGCACAGTCATTTGCCTGTCATTTCACGCTGCAAGATAAAAGGTGTAAGAAAATGAACAGTACTTAATCCCTTGCTTGAAGCCACTGTTGTAACACATTCCACCCCCTTCTTTGAGAGGCGGTGCCATCCATTCTGTCAGCAGTAAGAGAATGCGGTGGATATATTTTCTTGATTTTCCTGTCATTTGCTTCAGCTTTGAACATTCACGTACATGCTTCTATTCGGTGTGGCTTTACTAAATGTGATAATTCCAGTGTTACAATGTCAACCATCCCACATACAAATCTTCTCCCCTATCGAAAGAGTTTCTTTGCTTCTCTGAGTTGGAAGGCCAGGAAGGTGCAATAGGGGTACAATGGCTGCCATCCACCATGTTTCACTTTATTAGCTCTCTGCTACTGCACCATGGAAAATAAAGCCATGATGCCAACCTCCTTATTTGTTGAGAAAGCAGGACATAGAATAAAGGCAATACCCCTTCAGAATGCCCTTCACTTGCTTTTCATCTTCATTTAGATTAGTACCGGCAAATGGAACTTCCACGCCCAAACATACCAATTGCTGGAGCAATAGATGATACATCTGTCAGTAGGATCTATGAATTTATGTGCCAGACAGTCAAGTTTACAGTTTAAATAACAAGATAACCATCATTTCTCCACTCCCAGAAATAAGGAATTGATAATAGACAAGGTATGTCCCCATTCAGTGCTCTGCATGAGAAAACAAAGAAGTGGAACCAAAAGGGAGAGGGGAGAGTGTTTGCTCTGTACACACTGTTGTAAGGAGGCAACCAGGAAACAATACAAGACATGTGATTATTATACATTGTTTTGTGATTGGCAACAACAATGAAATAAAGAAGATGCATTGTTTGAGTGGATACAGTACTGCAATTTCAGTCAAAGGTGACAAAAGACTGAAAGGTCCAGCAAACAAAGGAGGTAGTTCAGATTGCCTCACTTTCTGTCAATACACTACTATTCTAAGCCCACAAGAAAGTGCATTGCTCAACAAACAAGACAGAGTAAGTGCTTCAAAATAGTTTAATTGCTGGGTTCAGTAAGAATTAACTTACTTGACACAGGATAGTGCTTTCTTAAAAGACTGCAAATGATCAGGTAACGCTTACAAAAAAACAGTATGCCTATTTCTTTGTAATCTACCACATGAAGAGCAATCCCAGGGAAGTACTTTCCCATATTCCTATCCTGTTAACAAGCTACAGGAAATAAATGAAGTTACTTCTTTCAAATGGATGGTTCTCCTTGGCAACAACCACCCATTGGATTTCTGACAGATATTCAGCAGTTCTTGTTTACCAGAAGGGAGAATGAGCAGCTTTATATTTGCTACAGAAATCTCTGGGTAAAGTTATTTCACCTTCTGGAGCTCAACCAAAAGTTCCTTCTCAAAAGCTCCAATAAATATGTAGTGTTATTTTACAGTAAAAACCTACAAGGACATGAACTAAAACAGTAAAAAGTTCATGCTCATTGTAAATACCTGTGTTTAAAACATTCTGATTTTTCCCTCTACTTTGACTCTGTCAGAACTCTAATGTGACCACTGTGAATTAAGGCAGTTGTTTTTAAGGGCATCACATCTGGACAACTTTTTACTTATTTTATGCATATAATCTCCTTCTGACATTCTTCCTCCCTACAACCTTGAAAAGTAAGTTGGGCTCAGTAAATGACTGCTTGAAGATCACCCAGTAACCTTCAAGCTGAGCAAAGATATGAACCAAAGCCTTTCTGGACCTAGCCAAACACTTGTCATTACTACATCACATTGGCAGATGATGCTAGTCCCTGGGAAGCACAGCAGAAAACAATCCTCTAAATAATGATTCCTTGAGAGGGAAAAATTGTCCACATTCAATATGCAACAGAGACCAACATATTCAATGATTCCTTGAGAGGGAAAAATTGTCCTCATTCAATATGCAACAGAGACCAACATATTACCCGGAGCTCTGAATGAGTGCTGCACTTTGCCTTCAGTGGCATGAGCCAAGATCAGTGTTAGAGATTTTATTTCTAGCTACACAGAGAAAGGAATCTACTTGCTCCAAGCCTGTCTCCAAACACACAGAGGTCAAGCAAATGGTGAGTTTATGTCAGCATTCTACAGTAGACTCATCATAAAAATGGCTTTAAAATGGTTTTATAGCATGTTTTATACAGTGGTGCTGTGATTTATACCACAACATGTATGGTGCCATTAAAAAAAATCAGTAGGAATTTAGCCAGTGTCTTTAATCTTCCAGATTATTTTGAACAACTGAAAATGAAACCAAGTGAATAAATTTTTAAAAGAATGCTCTGTTTTTAAGGCTATGTCCAGACCAAAATTCTAATTATATTTTACTTTTTCTTTCATTTATCACACAGAATTTATATTAATGCAATTCACAGAACAATGGATTTTGTCCTCCCCATTAAAATGACCTTTGGTTTTTCATTTTAAAACAAACACTGTATGAAAATTTCCTCAAGGGAGTTCACAAATATGAACAAATGTGATACCACCTGTAAGAAAGAGGAAATGAATATGGTTTCTACCTGGGAGAAAATGTCAAATCAAATGAGGTGACTGAATAAGTGTATGATGTATATGGGCTGCATGCCTAGCCAGCCAGCATTATTGAACATTGGCTGTGCAGACTGGGGCTGATGGGAGCTACAATCCTCTTTGATGTAAGGAAACATGGATCAAACTCTACCAACAAGAGCAAATGGAAGAGACTAGCTCTTGAGATTAGAAATCTACAGTGGTGCCTCGCTTAACGGGCGCCCCGTTTAACGATGAATCCACATAGCGATGTTTTTTGCGATCGTTTTTGCGATCGCATTGCGATGTTTCCTATGGGAAAAAATCGCTTTGCGATTTTTCCCCATAGGCCCCATTTTCCCCCAGTTGACCGGTGGCGGCTTTGGAAGGACCAGGTGTTCCCAGCGGCCCTCCTCCCGGCAGCAGCGGCGGCAACAGGGGTGAGGGGGTGGCTGGGGGAGAGCCGGGAGGCAGGGCTAGGCCCGGGTGTTCCTGGCAGCCCTCCTCCCGGCGGCGCTGGTGGCGACGGGGGTGGCTAGAGGAGAGATGGGAGGCAGGGCAAGGCCCAAGTGTTCCCAGCAGCCCTCCTCCCAGCGGCGATGGGGGTGAAGGGGTGGCTGGGGGAGAGACGGGAGGCAGGGCAAAGCCTGGGTGTTCCCGGCAGCCCTCCTGTCGCCGGCGGCAACAGGGGCTTTTTTGCCCCGCATAGCGACGAATCCGGATAGCGACAATTTTTCCGGAACAGATTATCGTCGCTATGCGGGGCACCACTGTACATTGCGCAAAATAGATCCAATATGACAAAGTGACAAATCAAGGTCAGAGCAGCAGAAAAAGTGCTATCTACATCAATGGAGGAAAACATATCATTTTAGCCAAGCATACAATTTGGGGGTAAGAAAACCAGGAAGTGAAGTATACAATGTATCAAATAGAAAATGGGCTGAACCACCCCTGCAGAATTTTCTTCAACAGCTTACAAGCGCATGCTAGATAAATGTTGAGAACAGAAGCTGCAGGTTTGTTTTTAAGCTCCTTATCAGTTGATATGAAGTTTTCAAAAAAATATCCTCGCTTGTTGCAGTCTAGATGCTTAAAAAACAACACATTGGTGCAACATACAATGAATAAAATAATTTTATTTTATTTTTTTACAAAGGTTATAGATTTTCCACTACCTGAAAAGAACACATTTTAGAGATCAAGATGCAATTTGAAAGATTTTTAGACGAAGTTTCAAATAAGTGTCACTAAATTCAAGCAGCTCAGTATGAAAATACGTAAATACATTTTAAAGATCCTTTTTACTATTGTTACACTTTGCCATTGCACTGTTCAAAGTGATATAATAGAACTAAATAATTAATTTTGCTTCAGAGGAATTCTTGGAAACCAATTCTGTTACACTGTCTGTAGGGGCAAGCAATTTCTTTTTAATCCCAGCTGAAGGCCATTTGCTGTCAAAATGATGCTAGCATCATGAATTTGATTGCATGAGTCCACCACTTTAAAAAAGAGCACATTGGTTATACATGGCTTTTAACCCTGGGCTACAATTATGCTACCAAACTCAACTGGAGTTTCCATTAGTCATGTGGCACTAGGCACTTCCGCTGAACACTGTTTACAGTCTTTAGTTCCCCAAATCTGATGAAGGTGCTGAAGGCGCTCGAAGGTTCTTGTGCTTACATTCAGGGCAGGGTGAACCTTGCGAATGCCAGACTCATCCATTAAAGACAGGCCACATATGCCAAAGTAGGCATGCAGAGCATCTAGAAGAAGAGATTACATGTTAGAATAGATGTATTATGTATTGGACCCAGATGTTCTTGGGCTAAAACTCCTAGAAGCCTTCACCACTAGCTGTTCTAGTCAGGATTTCTGGGAACTGTAGTCAATGATTATCTGGGGACCCAAGACTGCGAACCACAGGTACAACCCCATCAGATAACATTTCTATATGTATCTGTCTGCAAAATGCCTGTTGTAACATTTACAGGAGATAGGATGTTTCAGGGCAGAGGAAAGTAAGGAATTCAATTAGGCAAGCCCATGCAATTGCACTCAAATAGTGAGGGATCATGTTTTTGATAGCACTAAACCTTGTATATGTAGCAGAAAACAGTATTTTGGTCGCAACACCGATATAGGGATATCAATGCACATACAGACATTCCTCTGCAATAGAGATTTTGCTTATCACATTACACATACTTTTTGTATTAATGGTAATGCTGGAGGCACAAGATATTCCAACAATGAGAGAAAACTTTGCTGAGAGTTTTATTTTTTAAAAATAAAAGATATGCAGTTAACTCTAAATACCAGATAAGCAATTAAATACATATAATACTCAAGAGCATCTAAGCTGAAATACAAATCTTTTTTGGGGGGGGTGTTTGGAAGACCTTGAATTGCCAAGCAAAGTCCATATAACCTCCTGCTACATATATTTTCAAAGAATAACCACCTGAACATATATTTTCAAATTCTCTGAGAAACAGAGTACACCAGGGTGGCAATTTAAGCATTCAAAAGCCACCTAGCCTAAAATGTCCTGCACTTGAGATTCTCAAATTACAGGACAGGTATCTTCTAATGGTTCAACTGTCAGTCTCAAAACAAGATCATACAGCCAAAAGATCTGAAATATTTCCCTCTATATTCTCAGGTTTTATCTACAATTGCTATATTGACCCTTTGAGATTAGAAATGTACACTGCGCATATAGCTCCAAGATAGTTCTTTTTCTATACTATTACTTATAAAGCCAAGACAAGTTTTTGCAAATATATGCACTGATTCTAGAAGATACCTGAATTCCAACAAAATTCAGTCAGGTCTATAAGAGTACACAGAGCTCTTTGATTTCTTTAATTTCAGTATTTCTGGTCTAGACAAACATATATAATTGCATTCTAATGTGAAAATAAAAATCTGATCCTGTATAATCTCTGCACTGGTTTCCTACTTGTATTTCAGGATTTGCTAGCAAACTTCCTAGACCAGAAATATTAAGTCCAAAGCCATTTATATTTCAATAAATTCTTGTTATTAATTTTGCTCTGAAATCAGTCTTCTGCTCTAGCAAAATCCCTGAACTTTTTAAGTACAAAAAGAAAATACAGTGGGGTCTCTACTTAAGAATGTCCCTACTTAAGAACAATTCCACTTAAGAACAGCTCCATTTGCTAAATTTTGCTTCTATTTGAGAACGAAAATCCAAGATAAGAACAGGAAAAAAAAACTTTCCTGCTCTTTTTTCAACCTTAGGTCATCTTAGGTTAAAAAAAAGTTCTCCCCCTAGTGGTAGAGTACGTATTAACCAGCTTTGCATTAGTTCCTATGGGAACTAATGCTTCAATGTACGAACGCACCTCTACATAACAAAAAAACAGCCAGAACAGATTAATTGGTTTTCAGTCCATTGCTTCAAAATTAGCTTCGTCAGAAGTGCTTTTAACACTGTTCCCTGACCTAAGGGAAAAAAAAGAAACAAAATATCCCCCTCTAGTTGTCGAAGGCAGAATAGCAGCTTCCCATTAGTTTCTATGGACAGAAAAGAGCAGATACAGATTAAATGGTTTTCAATGCATTCCTATGGGAAATGCAGATTCTACATAAGAACTTTTCCACTTGAGAACCACCTTCCAATACGGATTAAGTTCTTAAGTAGAGACCCCACTGTAGCCTAATAACGTCTATACCAGGGAATTGGACCCTGCCATCTTAATCATTGACATAGTTCTAGAAGATTGCTGTGTTAGTCTGCATAAGCATATCAGGCAAAATGATAATTAAGATTAAAGTTTAAAAAAGACAAAAAGGTAGTGGCACATTAAAGACTGTTAGATTTTAAAGTTAGCTTTTGTGGACAAGTCCACTTCTTCAGACATATAAGGTGAAATACAGAGATCACACAGTAAAACTTTCATGTCCAGTTCTAAGAGATAGTGGTGTATGGTTGCATTTCACATGTGCAATAATTTATTGTTCTGTAAACATTCCAACAAGAGACAGAAAACAAGGTGAGAGCAAAAACATTTAATGCTTTTCAGACAAATATAGGCATGGGGTATGTCCACATTTTTGGGTCAAATGCCTGAAGTCTAGAAGCTACCTATCTGTCTAGGCAACTCCATGTTGCTCCAGAGGTTTTCTTGTCACCTGAAACTTGGTCATGATCTATGCAGTGTGGAGGCCGCTACAGTGGCTAGAAGGAGCCAAGCAAGCTCTTTCTCACAAATAGCCTGCTACACATATTTCTCTAGATCCAAAGTATTTTCTAAAATGTTAGGCTCTCTTTTGGTAGACCCAGCACAGCATTTTCTAACTATTGACAGCTCTCCTCTGCCCTCAGTCCTAAGACTCTGAAAGACTTCCCAGGGCAAAAGAAAGCCTCAGGAAGCCTTGGAACCTGAAAAGGAGGCAGGTAAGAAGTTTTCAATTCATGTAAAGCAATCTGGTGCTAGATCTGGTTTATGTCAGTGCTACTTTACACAACAGAATTTCGCCCAATGTATGGGCGTCATGGGATGGGACAGCTTCAATCTTTGAAATAGCCACTCCCAGGATGACATTACAGTGGTGCCTTGACTTACGAACACCCCTGCTTATGATCATTTTGAGTTATGACCAGCTCTAGTAGCAAAATTTTGCTTCTACTTGCGACCGGAGGTTCCACTTACGAACAGAAAAAGGCAGGAAATTCAAATTTCTAACTGTAGGTGGTGATGAGGCTGCTTCTTTGTAGCTCTTTCACCCCAGCAGTTAGAGAGTGTGCATCGTTGTCTAAGGCTTCGGACTGCCTCCTTCTGCTTCTGAGTGTGTGTGTGTGTGTTTGCAGTGAGGCTTTGGGCTGCCTTGTAAGCTAAGGTGCTCTTTTCTGCTTTTTAAAAACTGTTCTGGGTGTTCTTGTATTGTGGTTCTGAGCTGGGGGGGTTATGTTTCTGGGGGAGGAGTTCCTTGCTTTTTAGATTTTCTCCCCATTTCCGATGGGTCTTGGGGAGTTTATGTGCTTTTTAGTCGTCCCCCCCCAATTTCCGATCTTGCACGATCTGCTTGATTGCTTTTTGCTTTCTCTTGTTTGCATTTGCAGTAGGTCTTGCACGATTGATTGGTTTTTGGTTTGTTTTCTTTGCATTAGGTCTTCCGTGCTTGATTGCTTTTTGCCTTCTCTTGTTTGCATTTGCAATGGGTCTTGCACGGTTGATTGCTTCCCCCCCCCTTCGGCTGGAAGGGATTAATTGCATTTCTGAGCGGTCTTGCAGTGATTTTGTGTATGTGTGTGTGGTTTTTTTTCTTCGGCCGAAATGGATTAAATGTATTTCAATGCGTTCCTATGGGAAATGGTGCTTTGAATTACAACCATTTTGAGTTACGACCATCTTCTGGAATGGATTATGATCGTTAAGTTGAGGAACCACTGTACCATCAATTGTTTGCCTTATAAAAAGCCTCCCATAACATAGAAAGTGCCTTCCAGAAGATTTAGATTACAGTTCCCATAATTCCTCATCACTAGCTATTTCTGATAAAGGATGTTGCATGTTCTTGAAAACATCTAGTGAACCAAGTTGAGGAAGGATGCCTCACAAGAAGATCTAACAAAAATTCTGACCTTGTGCCATCCAAGTCTTGCAGTGGTGAGCTTACTTGCTTTCTTTTACATTTTGTTTCCTGCATCGTGAAGGTGTCAAGGAGAAGAGTATGCTGTCCCCAGAAGATAAAGGAAAGGAGGGAGGAGAGAAAGCAGAGGGAGAGCAGGAACAGGAGGACCTGAGGGAGAATGTGGCGGCAACGGATAAAAGGGAAAGGAGCGGGAACTTTGAAGTGAGTTTAGTGGAAGAGCATGAGGGTAAGAAAGGGGTGGAGCAAGAGCTGTCGGTTTGGGAGGAACGTATAAGTAGCCAGGGAGAGCATCGATTTGAGGTAGAACTGGAGTTGTGGAAGAGAAAGAGAGCTGGAGAGGCTGAGGGAATATGAGAGAGTAGAGACTCAGGAGCTGTTGAGGGACTTCCCTAACCTGAAGCTCAGAGGGTTGCTACCAGACCCAGTACTGAGGAAGAGTAGAGAGGTGAAGTATGAGACTCTAGAGTGGTCCGTAGTAGTCTTTCCCAAGAATAAGGGGCATGGGCAGCAGGTGATAAGACCCGATTCGCGTTACAGCATTCCCCCTCCTGAAGGTGACTGGGCAAGGCACCCATGCTGCGGCACCATTTGCGCAGTACGGAATGCACCCCTTCGGAAGCCAACAGATGCCAAGAGATTTGGCCCAGCACCCCTCTAAGTGCAATGGAAGGAGGACAAGATTACATGTTGGACAGTTATGGCTTGTTGCCTGAATTAAGCTTTTTCGATCCCATCATGAATAATGTTGATTTACCAGTTGTTAATGAAGACAAAGCTGTTAAAGTTAAGAAGACGTCTCCTGTGGTATTTCCCACGCAAAGTGAGGAGTTGTCAAAATTTGAAACTGAACCCATTCATATGCATATTCTTGAGTTTATTTTTGCTCTGTCTGTACATATTATGTTTTCTAATTTTAAAAAAAGTATGAACTATTCTTTTTCATCTTCCAAATATTCAAATACCTCCCACGACCCACAGATATACAAGCAAATTAATTTACCTGGATGACTATCAGGCCATTTAGCAAATCCACCAACAAGGCGATCTTGAGTTGATAAAATGTAATTTCTGTTCTTTTCATAGTTTGTATACTGAAATATTTTCAGAAGCTGGAAGGATAAATTAGAATTTTTAAGCATAACACAGAAGCATTATCAGTTTTAATTCGTATCACTGTAAATAAAACCATCATTCTAAAGTTTATATACTATGATTTCTCAAGAGAAAAAAAGTACATTATAGAAGATAAAATGTCTGATTTTAAAACCATCCTACATGACTTGACTAGTTCTGTCATTTCCGACATGTAAGTAGTCAACAAGCAGATTATGAGTGACAGCAGAAATGCTTTCAAATTACCTTAAGAGTTGCTCCTACCCAAAAAGAGTAGCAGGTGTCTACAGGTTTGTTTGGTCGGCCATGGTAGCCATTCTGTTGCCTCATTATGCACCACCTCCTTATCCTGTCCAGTTCCTTCTCAGAGAAGACTTCCTCAAGTTTACCCATCAGGCACAGTGATGCAATACCACAAAATGTAGAGCCACCTGTAAAATGGGAAAGAGTCTGCTCAGTATAGATTTCCAGAGCTACTAATAAGATTCAATCTACATAAACAACTATTTCTAACACATGCAATCATTTAAAGTGATATAAGGTCATTCAAACAAGCAGAGCAGAGAGGCTAGAGTGAAAAAAATACATGCACAGCTGGACAAGGAACAACTTCTAGTAAAAGCCCAGTAACAATGTAAGATGAGATGTGTTGGACCAAACCAAAGTCCTATCAAGAACAGCATAACTGTTGTACAGTGACTCATAGGCTGCCTGTGGAAAGCCTATGAGCAGGACATGAGCACAGCTGCACTTTATTATCCTATTCTTCAGCAACCAGCATTCCAAGGCACATGGCTTCTGATAGAGCAGGGGTCCCCAACCCTCGGTCTGCAGCCCAATACCAGGCTGTGGCCTTGGCAGGACCGGGCCATGGAGACAGATCTCCTGCCTCCTTGCATGCCTCTCTCCATGCATGCACATATGCCCCCCACATACATGCACTGACAAACACGCCACCGCCCCCATGCACGCATCCCCCCCATGCACACATGGACGCCCCACCCATGCATGCATGGATGCAGACATTCCCTGCCGACGTGGACACCACCGCCCCACCCCCTGCCCACTGAATCGGTCTGCGGATCAAAAAAGCTTGGGGACCACTGTGATACAGGAGGCGATAAATAGCCAACATGACTAGTACCCATTGATATCTCTAGCTTTCCTGAATTAACCTAAACCATCTTGGAAGTCTTTTAAGGCAGCAACCATCTCTGTATGTTATAGAAGCAATTTCAACTTACAGTTACTGTAGGTCCAGAAATAATTGGATACTGCTTTAATTTTAATAATTCTGGCTTTGTACACTATCACAATGGATTTGAAATGAAACAAATGAGATGCAATTGAAGTGCAGACTTTCATCTTTAATTCAAGGGACTGAACAAAAATATCATATCAAACATTTAGGAATTGCAACCGTTTTCATACATTGTCCCTTTATTTCAGGGGTTCAAATGTAATTGGACAAATTAACACAATAATAAATAAAATGTTCATTTTTATTAATTTGTTGAGAATCCTTCACAGTCAATGACTGCTTGAAGTCTCGAACACATAGACATCACCAAACACTGGGTTTCTGCCTTTGTGATGCTTTGCAAGGCCTTTACTGCAGCTCTCTTCACTTTTTGTTTGTTCATGGGTCTTTCTGCCCTACGTTTTGTCTTCAAGTGAAATGCATTCTCAATCAAGTTGAGATCAGGTGACTGACTCGGCCATTGCAGAATATTCCACTTCTTTGCCTTAAAAAAATCCTGGGTTACTTTCACAGTATATTTTGGGTCACTGTCCATCTGTAGAGTGATGCACTGTCCAATCCACTTCACTGAATTTGGCTGAATCTGAGCAGATAATATATCCCGATACACTTCAGAATTCATCCAGCTTCTTATGTCTTCTGTCACATAAATAAACACTAGTGACCCAATGCCATTGGAAGCAATGCATGCCCATGCTATCATACTGCCTCCACCATATTTTACATATGATGTGGTATGCTTCAGATCATGAGCTGTCCCAAGCCTTCTCCATACTTTTTTCTTCCCATCATTCTGATACAGGTTGATCTTAGTTTCAGCTGTCCAAAGAATGTTGTTCCAGAACTGGGCTGGCTTTTAAAGATTTTTTTTCCAAAGTCTAATCTGGCCTTTCTATTCTTGAGGCTTATGAGTGGTTTGCACTTGTGGTGAACTCTCTGTATTTGTTCTCATGAAGTCTTCTCTTTATGGAAGACTTGGATAATGATATGTCTACCTTCTGAAGAGCATTCTTCACTTGGCTGAATGTTGTGAAGGGTTTTTTCTTTACCATGGAAAGGATTCTACAACCACCACTGTTGTCTTCCATTGTTATCCAGGCCTTTTTGTGTTGGAAAGCTCACCAGTGCATTCTTTTTTTTTTCTCAGAATGTAACAAACTATTGATTTGGCCACTTCTAATGCTCCTGCTATCTCTCTGATCGATTTCTTGATTGCACCCTAAGGGCAGCCTGTGTCACTTGCACTGAGAGCTCCTTTGAACACATGTTGTAGGGTCACAGCAACAACTTCCAAATGCAAATACCACACATGGAATCAACTCCACACCTTTTACCTGCTTAATTGATGATGAAATAATGAAGGAATAACCCACACCTGTCCATGAAACAACTTTTGAGTCAATTGTCCAATTACATTTGGTCCCCTGAAACACAGGGGGCTACAGATTAAAGAGCTGTAATTACTCAACCCCTTCCTCCAATTTGGATGTGAATACTCTTAAATTAAAGCTGAGAAACTGCACTTTAAGCCTGAATTCATTCACTGTAACTTGAATTTATTTTGGTAAATAGTGAAATAACAAAACTTTTGTTAGTGTCCAATTATTTCCAGACCTAATTGTATATGGTGTGTGAAGAAACACTCACAACACATTTCTCCTTGTTCACTGCCAAAACAGCACTGCCTTGCTACCAGAAGAACTTTGAACAATAAAAACTGTCATTTTCTGCTCGAAAACAATGAAGAAGGAAAAAGTCACTGCTTCCCCACTGCTACTGCTCTACTTTGGAATCATGCCTTGGTCAATCAAGCCATTAAGTCTTTCCAGATGCCACAGTTTGGTACTTTAGCAATAGTGTCAGTCAGACTGCAAACTGACATGATGCACAATTAAGGAACTTGAGCAAAATGCAGTTTTCCTTCCTCCCTTGGGCTCCTCATCATTACATTTGTGTGTTTTCTGTGCCATCAAGTGAGAATGGACTTACTGTGACCCTAATAGGGCTTTCAAGGTAAATGAGATATAGTATTTAAAGGGTGGTTTTACCAGTTCCATTCCCTTAGTGAGTTTGTATGGCCAAGTGAGGATTTGACTTATCTTCTCCAGAGTCCTAGTCTGTCACACTATCTACTACACTACACTGGGAATCCATCTTTACATTTAACTATTATCAATTCCAGTTAACACAACAAGAACATTTCTCAATTTAGGGATGGAGAACCCTCTCAGAGTTTGGAGTCAACAGGGCATTTAATCTAAATTCATCTGGTGTTTTGCTTTGACCAAACCCACTCTTCCCTAGATGCCACTCGTATCTAGTATGCATCCTCACAAGTTTTACTGTACTTGCATGTTAAACTTGCCTACCAGCTATGGACATGAAATGCCTTGAATTTGGCTTTTTTAAGTCCAAAACTTTAACCGTTACACCAGAATTTAGTGGGACGTGAGAATCAGATAAAAAGCTCTGGCAAGCAAGATGCTGACGATGCAATGGTTTCACATGTGAAACAATGATTTCTCAATCATTCATGAGCAGTAAGACTACTGCTTTCCCAAAGACTCTCAACACAAATCTTCTCAGTACTTGTCCCAAACCAAGGTCAAAAAGGAAGCTTCTTGGAATAAGCAGGTTATTTTGGAAAAATGATACAGAAGGTACCACTTGACTGTGACTAGATTATATCCAACATTAGACCTACAGACTCAATGAAATCAATAGGACATGCCAATTGTGATGAAGTTGCCTCATTCATTTTAATATATCCACTCTAGGTCAGGCTAACATTAGATTTATCTCACTGTTCTGAAATGACTGTTACCACAACTATTACTCTTACCATGAGATTCAAGTCCAGCTCCTTGGGCAAGTCCATTATCATAAGACTGAAAAGCAAAAGAAAGGTAAATGCAGTTGTTAATGCAATCTTCCAACACACAGTATTGTGGTAAGACTACATAGTCTTGGCCCAAACATGATTCAAACCAAGCCACAATAGCCCATGAACATTGGATATTTACAAAGATACATTTATTTTCTACAGTATCCTGTTTCTCCAGAAATAAGATCTAACCTGAAAATAAGCCCTAGCATGATTTTTCAGGATGCTTGTAATATAAACCCTACCCCAAAAGTAAGCCTCAGTTAAGTGAAACTCTGCCCTCCGCCATTGTGCAGCAACCAGAAGAAGATGACGTGATTGTATTTCAATTAATGTAGATTGTTGTACATGGAAAAAAATAAAACATCCCCTGAAAATAAGCCGTAATGCATTTTTGGAGCAAAAATTAATATAAGACCTTGTCTTATTTTCTGGAAAACACAGCAGATGAAGGATATCCCTATCATGGGGTTTTTTTTGGCGACACATTAGGATGTCCTCCTCTAGACAACCAATATCATGAAATCATTACAGTGCTCCCGCCATATGACTTCATTCCTTTCAGCTCCAGTCCTTGTACGCCTAAGTGCCACCCAGACACCAGCTTTACAGAATTTCCCAGATTGGAATGCCCAGGTTCTCCCTCAAGATACTTGTGATACTGATGTGGAGAAGAGAAACTTCCCCATTCTGTTTCTAGAAGCCATTCCAACCATGGATTCTTCTTTTAGGATTCTAGTCTAGGACAGAATTTTTAAAAAAACAATGAACTTCAAGTTATAACCAGATGTGTAAGGCCAGACAGAACTTTTCATAGTCTACACCAGCATTCCCAAGCTTGGCACTTCCTCATGTTTTAGACTACACTAAAGCTTGCATAATCCTTCACAACCAGCCAACATTCACTCTAATTTTCCACCAGTACCAAGCAGAAACCTGATGTACAAAACATCTAGAAACTACTAGGTTGAGAACCACTGCTCCGCACTCAGGAACCAGAAGGACTAGAATTTGGGAAATATAAGCCCATACTTATTACTCCTTTTTTTTTCTTGGCAGTGTGGAATGGAAGGGTTTTGGAAATAAACTTCTCTTTTAGCTCTAGAATCAACCTCTACTTACATTTATACTAAAGACAGGTGCTAAGCATTTTAAAGGAATTCCTATAAAGATTAAGGGTAATCAACTCTGATCTTAGTGTCATCCTGCCAACACCATAAATTGTTTACCTAATGAAGCAGAGGACAATCCAAATTTTAATCACCCATGATCTTTGTCCATTGCCAATCTTTCACTGTCAGTGAGTGAGATTTGGAACTTTCAGTTTGAAAAATATAATACACAAAGAATGAATTTACAAGCAATTTGTGATTGCTAAATAAATGCAAACAGGGTAGTTTTAAGAATCTCCTCCCAAAGTGGCAACTAACTGTGTAAAAATAATCAGGCTCCTATGGACAAAGGAGTTTTGATCTAGACTTTGTGTGAGCCATATGCCACTCAAAGAATAACCTTAGTAGAGGAAATGGGAATGTAGTTTTTGCTCCCGCCTCCCCCTTAAAAACCCTGCTTAATGAATTGACAAAGGCATCCTCCTTTACTTCTTTCAAAGAGTACTCCTCCTGGATCCCAAGCCTTTCTGCAAACAAAAGAAGCCCTCTCATTTGTGAAAGTGCAGGTTTGACACTAATACATAATACACTGACATTAGACAATGAACAATCAGAATGAAACACCACATCAAGGAGAACAGAATCCACCTGCAGGGTAGGCGTCACCTACAGGATCTATTTTACTGCTGAAACTGCTGCAACACAGCTGAGCATGCTATGACTGTTGCTATACTTGTCTATAAATTAACTGAGAACTTGTCTCTTGTAAAAGGAGGATTTGAAAGCCTTCACTTCCAAGTGGTTACTGTAATCACGTGTTTGACTAGTGGAACCGGAAAAGTCCAACACAGAGCAGATTTTGCTTGATTAGTATGTAGTGCATAGCCTGTTACAACCTTAATTGCATTATTGAATTTGTAGCGATTTGCTTCACCCTTATTCAGATCAGAGCTAAACAAATACAATGTTTTATAAGAGCAAGAGACTCAAGAACAGGTTTAATTATTTTGTATTCTGTATTTCCTTCAAAGCGTGATGCTAAACATTATTAGATATGAAATACTCAGTCAAATGAGGAAGTGTTAGGCTGAAAGCCCTAACACTTAACAACGCAGAAAATTAAAAGGAAAAATATAGACCATGAGACAAAATGAGGTAAGATTTTCACTATTATAGTTCTCATTTTGGTGCTCATAACTGGACATCCAACTCAAATTATACTCTAAATCAGGGGTCTCAAACATGCGGCCCAGGGGCCATTTGCGGCTCGCCAGACAATAGTTTGTGGCCCCCGCCTTGCCTTCCCCCCCGAAGCACCCACGTATCCTCTGCTGTCATGAGTCAAAAAAAAAGCCTCGCCTCACTTGCCAGCTCTCTCCCAAGACAGCGCCTCTTGCACTCTCCATCCAAAACTGCAGCCAGCCAGCCAGCTCGCCTCCCAGCTGGCAGGCTGCAGTTCTGGATGAAGGGTGCAAGAGGCGCTGTCTTGGGGGAGAGACGGCGAGTGAGGCACGCTGCCAGCCCTTTTCCCTGAGCACCTGAACCGCCGCCAAGCGATGCCTGAGAGTGGAGCTTGCTCCTGGCCCGTCCTCGAAGAGCGCCTCCAAGCCACCAACAGCAGCTGCCACCACCACTGCCTCTTCCAGGGAAGCAGCTCTTTGGCTCTCTTTCTCTCTCAGCACCCTCAGTACCAGCCTGGCCAGCGGCCACCTCAGCACCCTGCAATGCTTCCTCCTCCTCCTCCTCCTCCTCCTCTTCGTCCTGCTTCAGCCGCCTCGGCTCTGGAAGCTGCCTGGGCTCACCTCGCAAAGTTTGCTCCTCTATCATGGTGGGGGTAGCTGCTGCTGCTGAGTGTGTCTTTTTTTTGAGGGGGGCCTCACAGGAAGGTTGCCGGACCTCTGTGTGTGTGCGTGCGCCCGCGGGGGCCCACCTCATTTGGTTTAATTTTGCGGGTACCGATGGGGGCTTTTCTCCTTTGGCAAGGCGATTCTGTGAGTGTTTTTATTTAATTTTATGTCGTGCCCTCCCCCCCAGCTAGGCGGTCGCTGGCGATCCCTCCCCTTTTCCACTTCTTTGTCCTGCTGATGGTGGTGGTGGTGGTAGTGAAGGAGCCGGAGGGGGTCGTGGCCAGCGACGAGGGCTCGTGCGTCCCCTCCTCCTTGGAGCCCCAGCCGGGCTAAGGAAACTCCTGGGCGGCTTCCTCGGGCTCTTGCTCCGCTTGGCGGGAAATCTGATGCAGCCCAGCCTCACCCAGACTCTGCCTCCAGCGGCCCCCAGGTAAAATGAGTTTGAGACCCCTGCTCTAAATGAAGTGAAGACATTCTGACATTAGTAAGCAATAGAAAGCAATGCGAAGACTCCTCTGGGGTCAGCATTTCAAGGTACTTAATTTAAAAACATTGAGAAGTCAATGGCAAACACAGCCAGTGACACCACATGGAGATGTCTCAAAGTACTCAAAGTGGGAAGAGCCAGAACTGTACACCTGGAATACAGTCATTGGGTAGCTCCTGATAACAAAGAAGTTCTTTACCTTTCTTCTACAAAGACTATTTGCCATTTAAAGTATACATTCAAGACATCAGATAAATGGCATTATATTTTTAGTTGAAAGTAAAGGAAAGTGTATTTATAAACTCCATGCCTATTCACTGCAGATGAAATAAAATGATGATGAATATCACCTCATATGTCTCCTCCATTGGCAGAGGATTCGACCAGGGGACCTTTCTAATTCTGCAGTTATAAGTAGAAAGACTGAGACCTGTTGCATTAATAGGGTGCTTCTACTTTGTACTGGTAAGGCATGCCTCTGCATTCAGGTCTAGTCAAAACATTGGAAGAAGAAAATTAAGAGAACAAGCATATTTGTATATATGAAATACAACGTATACTGACCAGGCATGCACAAACAATCATGGGACACAATGGAAGTTTGGGATTATCAAAATACATCCATGAAGAATGAGATGAGTAATCCACTGAAATCACAAAAAAGCAAGCTTCTCCAGATTAAATCTATATGTGAGAAGCCTTAAATTTAAAATCTGGCTAAGTAGTGATATAATCAAGAAAGCTTGTCTCTTCTTCCAATGATACCTGTTGAAAGCAATCTGAATAACCTTCATTGAATCTAGAGAATCTGAACTTTGTTAAAGTTTGGATTACTACTTAAAATGCTCTTTGAATGCTGTAAAATTGCCATTTCAGTTCAAAAACCTGTGAACAAAATATTCTTCAAAGGATGTTTCTCATCCCCTCCTTCCACTGCAGCCCACTGGAAAGCCATACATGAAGGTCAGGGGATGGAATATGGTGCACAGCAAGAGGGGGCTGAGTGACATATGGGTGGAGAGAGACAAGACCTGTTAAGTGTAGCTCTTTTTGAGTGTCCATCCCTGCACTCACACATCTATTCTCTGCATAGGCACAGAGAACGCCTATGTGGAAGTCACAGAAGAACTTACACAACCAAGAAATGCCTTCTTGCATGCATCTCAGTACACATGTGATACCACGAAAAACAATTTGAACAAGGAAGAAGTGCCTTATGATTCTGCATGAATACCTTTGGATGTGTGCCTATAAAAATACTGACTTGAAATAAAATTTGGCAAGCAAAAATAGTTCCTGCATAAACAAAATAGATGAACTTCTATTTGCATTGCAAAGAAGAAGTTTATAAGCTCTAATAACCCTTATTTTCTTACAAAATATGGTGAAACAAAGCCACATCAATGTATAATATACTTTTATCTTGCCAGTACTCGAAACAAAGGGGACATTATTAGCACAAGTTACAATTGTAGTAAAACCAACACAGCCATTTGCATCAATGTTATATTTAGTTGGCACTACAATGGGAGCCAGCTGCATCAATGTTATATTTAGT